ACGTCATTACGCTGCTTACGGATTGGCGCCGTTTTGTCAAAATATTTATTAACTGATATGAATCAAATATGTGGCGTTAGTGTGTGTGAGCTATTATTTCGGTATTGTATTAAAAGAAAACATCATACGAACTGAAAATATAAATAAAAATGTTTTTTATTGTTGCTTTAAAGGTCTTTGTAAACTATATAATCGAGGCTGAAAACATAACAACCGCATATACAAGTAGTACCTAACCAGTGTTTATTGGCAGTGTCACATCGTTTTTTTTTCCTTTTTTGTCTATAGTGACAAACTCACGTGGAGTGTTAGATTTTGTGTCAACTTTTCATCCATGTTGTGCACTATCGGTCAACGCATTTACAGCGTTTGGCTGTTACGCAAGATTATTTCAAAAACGAGACCGCTCAAATATAATCAAGTTCTGGGAAAGTCGCCAGGGTTTCATTACATACTCTGGTTATAAATGTGCAAAAAATACCAACATTTATGTTTACAGAAATAAATAAATTTTTGAACACATTCAAGAATAATTTAATTGCGAAGAAATATATTAATATCAAATTTAAATACTGCTTGGACCATTAAAAAACTATAATAGCATTTCCTTAAAGCAGCACTCTCCGGTTTTGCTAATATTCATGAAAATTTTGGGAATATATTAAAAAGTACATTATTGTGGAGTGAACATAGAAAATAATTTAAACAATACAAACGGCACTAACCACTAAGTAAATTATCCCAAACGGGTCTAAATGTCCACAAATTGCCCTTAATAACAAGCATAAATAACGCAGTAGAAATATGGTGAAGATAAATACTGGAAAATCAGTCATTAATCGCGCATAGCATGGACATAATTATTTTTTATCTCGAATTCTTTAACTGTTCTTAAAATCTAAGCACATATTTCTCAAGTTTGATCCGATAATCACGAAAAAGTAAATATACAATTAATTATTATTGAACGACTTTACTGGCATGTCAACTTTACCCTGAATGTTCGGTCAAACTTCCGGTAATGTTCGTCTTCTTGACGATAATTATTACTTGAATAATTGGTCGATACTATGGTAATCTGTCTGGTTCTTAAACGGCGTTATATTACGTAAAAAGTCATAAACGGTTTACGCAAAAATGTGCGTACATGTAGATAGAGGATATTTTGATGTTTTGAGTAATATTCTATGATATATCACACCAAGAAGTGAAAGAATAACAATATTGTTCACGAGCGCATATGTTTTATCTCGTCGTCGTGTTTGTTATCAAATGCATGTAAAGCATAATGCGATTCAAGTAAAAAAATGAACAACATTTTCTTAAGCATGATTAATATTTTATTAAGGCATAAGAAGACGACCAACGAAAAGAAAATGACGTTAAGGAAAAAAGTCCGTGACAAACAATGAACAACTCGTTAAAATATACCATGCATTGAAAGACCATGGAGAAGCACAAGAAATGGCAGAAGACGCATAAAACCATGCAAAAAATATCGGCAAATATCAAACGGTTATACGTAGATATTTACATCAACACAATACTGCATCTAAAATCATGGCATGCAAGTTACCGTCCACGCCCCTAGCACCGGCTTTAGCAGAATTCAACATTTAAATACGAAACAGCTTTCAATGTGACACTTAAGTGCCATTACAGCAGCATATAGTTCCCAAGGAAAAGAATGTGTCCCCTAAACGAGAAAACAATAGGCGGAACTAATGTAGCTTATATATTTGAACATAAAAAGATTGACTGCTATTTTCATAGATGTTCACTTTGAATATAAGTAATATATAGATAATATGAGATTAAATATATTCTTTTTTTGGATCATTTAATTCATATTTATATATCATTTAAAAATTGAAAATCATATCAAGTGCAGGATTGTTTGAAATATCTAAACAAAAGATATAAGCCCATAATTATCTCATGCTTGAACTGGTACCTAAATAAATTTAATTTAAGGTTCCTGTAAATTAATAAATAAGTGCAGCATAAACACTTGCATTCTATGGCAACAGAATACAGAGCATGATCTACCTTTAACTTGTTTACCTTCTTAGTGCTACTAAGCCTTCTAAGGGAATCAAAATCAATAACAAAATGTCCATGTATAATTATAGATTCAGATAATGCTATAAAAACTTCCTTAGTATCTTTTTAATAATCACAATTTTATTATCAATGGAATACTCGTTGTACTTTTCATATATGTTTTTAGATTCTATATTCAGTATTGTCAACAAATATATTACAAACTATATAACTCTTTATTGACTTTTTTTACAGGTCTCAAAATATCTGATTGAGTAAAATAACAAAACACAAAACATACTATAAAAGGCTAAGTAATAATAAGAATTTCTCCATATTTTGCATTTTTGTTCTTTTAAATTCAAAGTAAAATTAATCAAATCACATCATTTGCTATTTAAGATAAAATCTTTCATTTCAACAGCATGTCATTTCTTTAAGGTTATTCAATTCCAAATCATATATGTATTGTCATTGAACATGATCGTTACTAAATATACCTTGTTTTTATTTGTAATTATCAAATACTTCAGCATTGATGAATAGATGATAAATGTACCCAGATGAAGTTAAACTGGGGTAGAGAATTTTAAATCCTAACATTTTTGGTCATCTGAACATAGTTTTATATGTAAAATAGAAGATATCAAGCATCAAGAACACCTTAATAGATGTATACAATTAAAAGATGAAACTGAAGTACACAACAGTCCTTGAGAAGAGCAATCATTATATTTTACAATATTTCGAATTTATTTTCAGCTCGTTTAACTGTCTCTGTATATCAAAAAGTTTTAATTCCATGTATTTTTCCGCTTCTCATATTGATGATTGTCCTCTAAATAACTGAGATAGTCATGTTACTGATGAGTCCAATGTTAAATATGATGATTGCATTGATGAGACTGTTGATGCTAAAGATGATTATAGTGATGACTGTGAGGGTAAAAAAGCGTGTTGATTGTTTTGCTGATGACAATAATGATATTATAATATCCTTAAAGTAATTTGTATATTTGAAAATACATCACAATAAATAAATCATCATCAACAACATTTTTGTTTTCAATTATTAAGATGACCATCATTTTTATTAGGAAAAACAGCCTAATCATAAAATGAGGATTAACAGCATAATCAATGGCCTTATCAGCATTATTATCATCATCACAATTAGTATAGTTACCTACTATTAGTAATGATCAGTTTGATATTTCACAAAAATGAGGACCACTACCATCATTTTCAGAAGCAGTAACAGGCTGACATTACCATAATCGCTGCATTTGTCATGTATGAAGAGAATATGTGCAGTCTGACTTGTACTAAAACAAGGATTCCTCAGAATACTTTTCTGCAACTAAACTCACTAACTTATCAGGCGGCTGTCACTTTTCCCCTTAAAATAGTAAAATATAAGTGCTGTGCTTTTTAGCTCTCACGTGATCGATAGAAGTGTAGGCGCGATTTTTTCGCCTTGGAAAAATTATTGAAAAATACCATAAAAATGCTTTTTGAAATTTCTTTCTGTGATTTGTTATGATTCCATGTGCTCCTTGGTGGATTGTGCTAGGACTTGTTTGATAACTTTTAATGGGAAAGTCGAAAAAGCCAAACAAACGGAAACGAAATAGTGGAGGTAGTGGAGGTAGCGATGACCGCCCGGCGAAAGTAAACAATGGCGGACTTAGTCTTAGCGTAAGTGACACTTTGCATTCAGTCAATAATATTCTCTTCGAAGATGTTACCTTAAATGATAGTGTATTCTTGGCAGAATCAGACAATAGTATACAACACTTAAACATGGCGGATAATCAGGTACATGATGACAACACGTCCAGCTCTACCCCACCCTCCAGTACAGATATACTCAACTATCTAAAAGGGATGGACAAGCGAATCATGGCTATAGATAAGCGTCTCAGTACTCTCGATTCTTTAGAAATAAAAGTTACAAACTTTGAGTCTGATCTTAAGAAACTGTGGTCATTAGTCTATGATAATAATAATAATATACAAGAAAAGGCAACCAAATTGACCGACGAAGTTGAAAGCCTTCAATTCTCTCTTAATCAAGCGCAATGTGAAATATCAAAACTGCAGTCAGACAAGGTCAATATTGAGGACAATTTGTTATATGTACAATCTCAGTCAATGAGAAACAATTTAGTATTCTCAAATATACAAGAGTCCGAGCACGAAAAACCCGAAGATTGCGAGAGAATCGTACGTCAGTTCATGGTAGATAAATTAAAGCTGGCTCAAGATACTGTGGACAGCATTGGTCTGGAACGGGTACACAAGACGGGCATGAAACGTCGGGGGTACACATCAAGCCAAGAAATATTGTCGCCAAATTTACTTCGTTTAAGGATAGAGAGATAGTGCGTCGCAGCAAGGTCAAGTTAAAGGGCACTGAATTTTTTGTCTTTGAACAGTTTCCCAAGGAAATTGCTGATCGCCGTAGATCTCATCTCCCAAAATTAAAGCAGGCGTTACGTGACGGCAAACGTGCCTGGCTTAGCTACGACACGTTATACATAAACGGCCACCCAGTGCGTGATGGAAACCAATAGTACTGCGCGGAGGCTGAACTTAAAATTGCTTCATGGAACGTGCACGGGTTAACCAAAACTAAACTTGAAGATACCAATTTTATAAGTTACTTGTGTGAACATGACATTTTTTTCCTATATGAAACCTGGGCTGATAGCTCTTCCAAATTTGACATTGATGGATATACTTGTTTTAATTTATTTCGCAAATATCAGAACAGGCGGGCCAGACGATGCAGCGGGGGTGTTGCACTCTATATTAGAAATACAATAGTAAATGGCGTGTCGATCGTGAGAAATCATTTTGACAGTATTATATGGCTAAAATTGGATTATTCATTTTTTCAGTTGGACAGTGACATTTTTGTTTCTGGTATTTATTTATGACCAGAAAATTCTCCCATGTATAATTTATTAGATGTCGACTTTTTCACATTATTGCAAACTGATATTAATGATTTTCACTCACAGGGCAAAGTGTTTATTATTGGTGACTGGAACTCACGCACGGGCGATCGTGCAGATTATATTGTATGTGATCGAAACATTGATTTAATTGTCGATGCCAACTATTTACCTGATATTCCCTTGTCACGTGACTCAGTTGATAACGTTTGTAATATGTTTGGTTTAAAATTAATTGAGCTATGTAAATCTACGTGTTTACGGATTGCTAACGGTCGATTATATAATAGTAATGATTTTACATTTACTTGTCATACAGGTTCAAGTGTTATTGACTATTTGTTATTGTATAATAGTGACATGTATTGTGTAAACGATTTTACAGTCCACCCTTTTTGTGAATGGTCAGATCATGCCAAGTTATCATTTAACATTTTATGTAAAACAGCAATAGATGTAATTGACGATGTGCATATTAAGAGAACCCATGTTAAGTGGAACCCTGATCTAACGGAAAGTTTCCGTAGAGGTATTATAGGAAAACTGCCGGACTTTAATCGGGTTGTCAATAATATTGACAATAATAATCCAAGTACTATAGACGCTAGCATTGTCAATTTTACGTCAATTATGCGAGAAATCGCTGATCCGTTATTTAGTAAAACTATTAATCGTGTACAACATCCCTACAGTTATAGTGACCATAACCCACTTTGTAAACAAGCAGACTGGTTTGACCAGGACTGCCGCAATGCGCGTAATGCTTATATAAACGCATTAAACAATTTTTATCGGGTAAAATGTGTAGAAACACGTCATGATATGTGTACGAAAAAAACAATTTATAAACGACTTATTCGAAAGAAAAAGCGTGCGTTCGAAGCAGCGAAATGCCGTCAAATTGTAAATTTACGTTCTTCTAAGCCCAAAGACTTCTGGCGCTTGTTTAACAAAAAGAAAAATAATCCTGCGCGTTCTATCGATTTGGATGATTTTTTTAACTATTTTTCGTCGTTGCAGGAAGATCTTGTATCTGAGAATGATCTAGAAACTGATACATTCTGTAATGATCACGATTTTAACGATACGTCATGTACTTTCGCTGAACTGGATTGTCCTATTACAGTTGCTGAAGTTGAGTTTGCAATTCGCGGGTTAAAAACTAATAAATCGTGTGCGGGTGACAACTTAATAAATGAGTATTTTATACAAACTGTTGATATTTTGAAGTGTTATCTGGTCGATATTTTTAATGCAATATTAAATACTGGTCATTTTCCTGCACAGTGGACAAAGGGTATTTTAGTACCGTTATTTAAGAAAAATGATCCTTCTGACGTAAACAATTACAGAGGAATCACTCTAGTAAGCTGTTTTTCTAACTCTTTACGAGCGTAGTTAACAAGCGTTTAAGCGTATTGATAAATGATAATAACATAGTCAGTGATGCGCAGTTCGGTTTTATGTCTGGAAGATCAACTGTCGACGCAATTTTTATATTGAATGCTGTTGTAAATAAAGTTTTGAATGATAAAGGTAGATTATATTGTGGTTTTATCGATTTAAAGAAGGCTTTTGATAGTGTTAATCATAGTAATTTGTGGTATAAACTATATAAATTAGGAATCAATGGCAAATTACTTAGGATAATCAAAAATATGTAGGCCTCTGTTAAAACATGTATCAAGGGATGTAACTCTTTCTCTGATTATTTTGAATGCGTGGTCGGTCTAAAGCAAGGCGAGGTTCTCTCCCTGTTTTATTTTCTCTATTTTTAGAAGATCTTGAACTTTTTCTGAATGATGACCCGTCGTGTGGTTTAAATATTGATGAAATCCTGCTAGTCATTATGTTGTTTGCTGATGACATGGTGCTTTTTGGTAATACTCCCGTTGATCTTCAATGCAAGCTTGACTTGTTAAAATTATATTGTGATCGCTGGGGTCTTATTGTCAATACTGAAAAAACTAAGGTTGTGGTTTTCCGTAAGCGAGGTAATATAAGACCTGACGAGCACTGGCATTACGCGAACTCCTCTCTTGAAATTGTCGATAATTTTAATTACCTTGGCACTGTGTTTTTCTTACAACGGCTCTTTTAAAGTAAACCAAGATACACTAATTGGTAAAGGCTTAAAGGCTTTAAATGTACTGCTGATTAATTTAAAGAATTTTACTATCGCGCCTTCAATTCAATGTCAACTGTTTGACGCTTTTGTAGGATCGATCCTTAACTATGCTTGCGAAGTTTGGGGCTATGGTACTTTTTATAATATTGAGAAAGTACATCTCAATATTTGTAGGCGTGTCTTAAATGTGAAGACATCCACTAGCAAACTAGCTATTTATAGCGAACTAGGACGCTATCCACTTTTTGTCAATCGGTATTGTCGTATTATTAAGTTTTGGTGCAATCTTGTGCAAAGTAAAAACATTATTTCAAATTACATTTAAGCTGACATGGTGAATCAATTAAATAAAGGTAAAACTAATAGGCTTGTAAATGTTAAAAAAGTACAAGACAACAATGTGTTTTCACATGTGTTTCACAATTCAGATTGTGTAAATATACAAACATTTCATCCGTTGTTAAAAGGAAGGGTGCTTGATATCTTTAAACAATCTTGGTGTAACCAAATTGCATTGAGCGGCTCTTTGTTTTTATATAAAGAGTTTAAAAGATCAGTCGATTTTGAAATGTATTTGGATATTCTTCCTAGTAAGTTTAGAACTGTTCTATCTCGATTACGCCTTTCGTCTCGTCAGCTGAATATTGAAGTTGGTCGGCATGGCAGAAATCGTGTGGATAGAAACCAGCGTTTATGTCTATTATGTGATAAAAATGACGTAGAGGACGAATACCATTTTGTGTTAATATGTCCGATTTATTTACACTTTAGAAAACGTTTCATTAAACCATATTTTTATAATAGACCAAGTGTTCATAAGTTTGTTAAATTGATGCAATCTTCTAATAGGCATACACTGCTAAATCTTGGTAAATTTATATATGAAGCTTTTGCATTGCGCAAGACTCTAGTTAATTGGTGATACAATGCAGTATATTTTACAAAGTTTTTGTTAAATATATTTTCGTTTTTGTATTTCAATATATCCTTGCAGAATTATAACAATCTATTGTAAACTCTTTAACTATACAACTTAACTAAAAAGCAAACTTAATTAAATATATAATATTATTGCATTTCTGTATGTACTATATGATGGAAGGAATTTATATACACAATGTTCAACCTCCACTCGTGGAGCGATAATAATCAATATTTCTTTTTCTTTTTTTATATATTTTTTTTTAATTTTACACTTCTACTTTCACGTATACATGTATGTCAATGGAATTTGTATGATGATGATCTGTAACTGGTCAAATCAATAAAATGTATTGTTGTTGTTGTTGTTGTTGTGTTTTGACACACTCCTGCAAAGAGAATTAGCACTTCTCAGCGACTTTTGAGCTGCATACATGATACAATTACACTACTCGTTCGCCAAATGTCTCTTGATTACAAAAATGGGCCTGACATGTACTCGAACCAAGAACCCTCGGATTACCATTAAGCAGCTCTACTGGCCAAGCCAATTATTATAGGTACATTAAATATTAGTAACTGGTCTATACACTGACACAATCAACATACTTTTAATCATCACCATAATGATCATCATCATCAAAAAACCTAAAAATTTTAATATAAAAACAATCATTATCATTGTAGCGAGCAGCAGCATGTCAACTATCATCAAAACAATCATCATCATCATAATCATCACAATAACAAAATCTGCTCATCATCAACAATAGCATGATAGTCATCATCACAATCAAAATACTTCTGCTCATTATCGCCACCGTCAACATGATCATCACTGTCGAAATACTTCTACTCATGAATATCATCATCAGCATAATCATTATTGAAATCAACACTCTTTTGCTCATAAGCATCGTCGTCGTCGTCATCAACATCATCATTGTCATCATCAACTAACCATCATCTAAACAATCAACATCTGCTCACCATAAACATCGTCAGCTTAATCATCACATTACAATCAAAATACTTCTGCTTATGGTTTTATCATCAACATAAATATCATCATTTCAATCAAGACACTTTTGCTTATCATCACATTCATGAATATAATCAGTATCATAACAATCGACATAGTTCTGCTCATCAATACCATCATCAACATTATCATCGCATCACAATCAGCAAAATCATCTTCATTGCCATCAACGTACTCTTGCTCATCATCACCGTCATCAACAACATAAGTTATTACCATTAAATACATTTACCATCATTATTGTGAGGAACAGCCGCAACATGTTTTCTATCATCAACATCATCATTGAAATTAACATCATTCTGCTTTATATCACCATCATAATTATTATCATCGCAGTGAACAAAATTGATTTTATTATCATATATATCATTATCCTTTGAAATGCTCATTTCCTGAAAGTACTGAATTTGAAAAATCATTTTCACCCCTCCCTCTAGACTGGTACTCCTTGGACAACCTTTGAAAGGCATTTTTCCCGAAAACTACTTGCAATTAAAAGGAAATTTCAACCACCCCCATCTCAACCCATTTATGGTTTACCCATGTACAACGTATAGACTGCACTTTTCCTGAAAAATCAACCTCTGCCCACCCTGAACTGTCATTTGAATAAGTGTCCCCCGGATAGGTATCCCTTTCACAACCTCTGGGAGGCACTTTGCTAGATATATGTCCTTCTAAACAAGCAGTTTATTATTTCCTTCTGTTTATATTTACTGTTATACAACCTGTTCAAAGACCTCCTCCAATGATAATCTTTTTAGAACATCTTACCCCCTGGAAGGTACCCCGAACAACCTTTTGGAGTATAATCTATAAAAGGCATTTGTTCATCATATTTATCTTAAAAGATTGAACATGTAATTGTTAAAAATAACTTATTGTTTTCTGTTTGACATAGCATCGCTATCAAAGAAGGGCGTTCGTGCGTTTCAATAGGGAAATGAATAAAAAGCAATACGTATAATCGACTGGTAAACATTTAAAACTAAATCATTTTTATTGAATGCATGCATTAAATAATATTTTCATATTTCAAACTTTAAACTAATTCATCTGTCGCAATGCATGATCGAAAAGCCATATCCGTAGGGTCGAAACTTCTGGCTACTGGATACTTAAACTATGCCAACATTTACAGGTTTCACATATAGCTGAATCAGCAGAATCAGGAGCATCAGAAAAACACAAGCAAATTTACTGCAGTTCACTTGTTATATTTTTCTAATGTCAACAAAATGTTTTTCAAGCTGCTCCTATGTATATTTACTGGACAATGAAAGTATAATCAAACAGTTCTAAAACGCGCAATCCATTGGGGTGGATGTTTTAATCCGAAGTTTTTTTATCATGATTAAGGAATTATTATCGTGTAAATTTTACACATAAGTGACCAGGATTACAGTTTGTGCGTGATGTAAATAATTTCCTGATACTTTATTTAACAACAAATTGCTTCAGCAGAGGAGATAATAAAAACCTAAGTATTATTATCTACATCAGGTTATTTAAACAAACTTATGATAAGTCATTATAAAAGGACGCTTGTTGTATCTTTAATACCTGCAAAATATTGTTTCTAGATGATCCCGTGTGTTGAAAAATAATGGTATTCCTAAAATATTATACCATAACAAGCATTTCCTACCGGCTCTTTTGTAAAAATGGGTCAGGCAAATCACCCACGGGCCGTTTAAGAGGTCTTCAAATATATACCGAGCGGTAATTGTTCTATTGTTCTCTATACAAAAGAAAATGCATGAGTCACGCTCACAAGATTATGCATTACATAATTATGGCCACATATATTCCGTAACGCAGGAGTGGTGGACTAGAGAAGTTATGTTTATTGACAAATATATATATTTAAAGTGCATGTTCATCAAATTAAAATATATAAATGACAGCAAATAGCTAGCAGGAAATTATTATTTAGTACAAAAAGGCAATATTTAACATGCTTTTTTTTGCAGTTTGCTTTCGTTATACATATTTGCCGAACTACTATCGCTTTATATAAAACAAGTTTTCGTCATAAACTTGCAAAAATCTACCTATTTTTTTGTGTGTGCAAAATCCTGAATTATTTAACAATTCTGCATTATTGGATATAAACGACGATGATTGGTACATAACGAATCAAAATACAATTTTTTGCAACTGTTTTATCCCGAATATTAATTGCAGTGACAGAATAGTTTGTATATAGTTTAAGGCCAATATTTTCAGTTATTTTTTTCCAACATTAGCGAAAATCATTAGGCATATCTAACATCAGCTGTCCTTAAACGCCAAATATAAAAA